CTTCTATACTTTTTAGAACGTAGCTATTTATTATTAGCATTATTCTTCCGACGTCTGATTTCTTTTTAATTATAGGAAATGCGTTTTTTCGGTACATAAACTTTTGGGATTGACTGTATAGCCATTACATCCTTAACTATTTTTTATTCGATTCGACAAGAGATTCTATCGATCGCAGATGTTGCGGTAAAATTTTCTGCGCTGATTGTTCCGAAAACTCGACTCCGTTGCCCAGCGAGCAGCTGTACAACCCTGTGAGGGTGTGCAGCGAATGTTTCTCGCGGCTTCACCATCACACGAGCACTTGTCAGTGCAATTTTCGTCACCAGAGTAAAGTGGAGAACGATACCGCGGAACTAACGTCGAATTCGGAGAACTTGATCCCTTGTCCGAGACCGAAGGGATTGAACATGACGAAGGACAGCTGCTGCGACAACTTGCTGCAGATCGTGCACCAAAAGGCGCAGCCCCCGGTTACAGCAGCCACGGTCAATTGAGACCTCGCCCGTGCGAGGAACGAACGTAGCATTTGGGTTTGGTCTATTCGGCTTTCGACGATGCGAAAAGTTTGTTAACTTTACGCGGGGAGCTACGATCGATTGGCTGCGATACGTGTTCTACCATTCATATGCATGCGTGGTACGCGAACAACTACAAGCCAATAACCATCATCACGCAGTTTTAGATACTTTGAGCGATCCAGTATTTATTGCTAGAGTAATCGTTTGTACGAAGAAAAAGAAGAGTGTACAGTGCATCGGATTAAGAGAGAGGAAGTACGTCCGTGTGTATGAGTACGTGAACGCGTGTGTGTGTGTGTGAGAAACAGAGAAAAAGAGAGAACGAATCGGTATACGAAAAAGGTTGCATGCACCTTATCCGTACGCATAGGAAGAGTCGACTTCTAGCGAAGAGATACCTGACTCCTTCGAGAGCGGAACGCGAGTTCCCTAATGTATAGGAGAGATGTTATCCTCTTGTACTCTTCGAGGTACAGCGAGGCGAGGCCGAGGAATCTTTTTGGATAGGCTGTGACTGATGTCTAGTTTTGGACACCAACTACGCGAGGTGCGCTCTTGATTAATCGTTGATCAATCGATGAAACGACTCTACTTATAACTAGTAGTTGGATTACGACGACAATGTGTATTTGTATATTAACGCTGTTTACGAGAATTGGAATATTAAATGTCATTATCGTAAAGCCTTCCCATTTTCATACATTTATTTTTATTCCAGTGAGATTCTGAAGCGGCGACGCGTTTCTTAGAATCTGCGTAGCGTTCCTTATGATATCGACCTCGCCCTTCGTGTCGTCCGCATTTTGGAATTGTACCAGAATTACGAGATACGTTGTCACGACGCCTGCCATCTGAAACACGTGCCCAGATTATACGCACGTTCTCTGAACAATTGAGATCTAGTCTTACCGACGTGATCAGAGTCCTGTCCAAGTCGAAGAGACCGCAGGGGGAAAACTCGAGAGGCCGATGCAACAGCTGAAGCGAGAATATTTCCAGTTCCTGTCGGGTGTTCGCCTCGAAGCTACAAGACAGCAAACGACTGACGAGAACCGCAGTTCGTTTCCCCTGAAACTCCGAGATCATTTTCTTCCGAGGAACTTAGCTTCTATCCTGTACACATACCTCGACGACCGTGAAATAACTGGGCTGGACGATTATCAGCATTCTAGTCACGTGGAAGATGCACCATCCACCCTGCACGAGTAGGAATATCCACTCGTTACTTTCTACGGCTTGCACGATCAAGAAGTAAGGCGTGATAACCAGATGCAGAAGGCAGGTCACGGTGACGGTCAATATAACAACTCCGAACGCGGTGTTCACGAGGGAAACCGTGTCGCAAAGCGAAGAATGAACGATCATCAACTCCGACACGCTGCTGGTGTACAGCTTCCTATTCTCTGCGAATTTGTTTTTCTGGAATTAATACACGACTCTGCATCCTCGATTAATCCGTCAATTACCGTCTAATATGAGTTGTTTCCCGGACAAGTTCCACTTTTTCTTTTCGGACTTTCGCAAATAACTAATCTGATTATTATTCTCGTTCGCATTATCATTTCGTTTACCATTAAGCAAATCATTCAGATTGCTGTTTAAACGAGCGAACCTCTTTCCTATATTGTATGTACAGACCGTGTACTGAATCTCGGTTGAAATGATGACGGTGTACATAAAATACAGGGGAGCATAATTGATCGGACCTTTGTCGGGCATTGCTTTGCTGATTGTAGTTTTCCGATCCCATGAATAAAAATCAAGGATCGAATTGAGCCACAAATAAGCGAGAGTGCAAATTGTTAAACCGATCGTGAATCTTCGAATCTTCTTCATCGAGGGTACACCAATCTTCTTGTCCACCTAAAACTCGCCGGACGGTATATTAAAAGAGATGTAAGGAGCGACCGATACCAGATTTTACCTCGATCAATTTGTTCATGACCGTTTGCAGATGATTCCAACGAAAGCAAGAGCCGCCGACACACACTACAGTTAAAATCATTACGCCAAGAACATCGCTACACGTCGCGATCACCGCTGTTCGCGATTTCAATCTCGTACTGTGCTCCCAGCCGTCTTTTAAATCCCGCCACATACCCCAGATTTCTGCCCCGAGCAGTAACATTAACACGAATATACTAAACAGACATAATCCTATCTCAATTCTTATCATACCATACATGTAAATAGTTGAAATTCTTTCTATGTCTCACCTGTAACTAACATCTACCGCGTGCAAACGTACTCTATATTCCATGGGAGAACGCATAAGAAATCTCACTGGTATCAAGCCGCATAGTTTACCGAGATAATATATCGGAGAAATTGATCGGCACAGGTCACCGCCGAGTGAAACTTTCTTTCTTCCCTTCTCAGACAATTCGCCCATCCTGATTAATCAATCCGAACTGCCCTCGTTGTTAGGATAATTAAAGAACGATTACTTCGTATATTATCATCGAGAAACCAGTACGAGGAATTGTAAAACGAGTCGCGGAACGTATTGTCAAATACACAAGTCGGACGAGAGTGAATTCCCTTGGGTTCTACAGTAATTTAAAGCAAGTTAACAACGCGCGTATACTTAGTTTGAATTATACGTGTGTCCGATTGATCGATCGATGGAGATCTCATCGAGGGTACGCCGGTGTTGACTTTTCTGAGTAACAACACACCGAGCCTGTTTTACTGAATGTTTAATGCTGGCATTGACCGATAGAAACGTGTGTATATATTGTAACTGAATTATTAAAGGGCCATTAAAACCGCGATGACGAATGCGAGACGTCAACCCGGTTTATCTCTGTAATAAGCGCGATTAGGTCGAACGAACAAATTACTCTTTTCTATCTCGATCATGCTCCGCGAATAGAAAAACTGTGGGAAAAAGCACACTCTCTTCGATAAGATTTACGTATTTAATCGCTTGATCATTAATCATTACTTTACTCGGTGAAATCAAAAAATTCGCAACCGGCGAACTTCACGTGTATACGCGCTCGAAACAGCGACTAAATTCATAGTTTTGAGGTTTTGAGTGGCCGCGAGCATAAACACGATGGAGGCAGAAACTGTGGGGAATCTTGTTCAAAAAATGATCGTTTCCCTTTATGGTGAACAAAAACCAGGTGGAACAGCCTTATACTTTTCACCCTTGTTAAGGTTTCGTAGATTCCCATGATTAACGTCGAGTTGATTGCAGAGGTGATCAGAAAATGGATGAGGTTCTCTCTAGGATTGTTGTCATCCACACAGGGGATAGAGACTTTGCAGGAAGATGAAATTTCGATAGGGAGTCAAATAAAAGAAAAGCTGTCGACCTGCGAGGCGGCACAGTTCGACAAACTGTATAACGACTTGAGATCCGGGGTAAACTATGTCTGCTTCGTTTGTTTTGCTGGCTCGTGACATCCGTACTTACATGTGTTCACCTGTTGTTTAGCCCTTAAAGAACAGAGTACAAATCCTCATATTCCTGTTAAACATGTGTCATTCTACTGAGCAGTTGAGGGAAAGAGTTTTCTCAGTGCCTGATTTAAAATTAGGTTTATGTTCCTCTTCTGCATCTACTAGTGGTCAGTGTCACGATTAGGCTGTACGTCACATGTCGTAGGGAATGTGAAAATATGTAGAATGTCATTTTATGATCTAGGACAATCATCAGAGATTTATGCACCCGCTCAGATCGTGTCTATGAACAGTTCAGAGAAGGGTGCGAGAGAGTATCTGACAAGTTACAGCAAGTTATATGGAGAAGAATACATTTCAGAAGATGCATTGGTTCAAGATCTGATATATTGCTTCCAAGGTATCGAGGGAAAGATATTAAAATTGGACTCGAATTACGGTTTCCAATTAGATCCGATGATAAGCATAGACAGGCCAAGGAAACAGGCCACGTTGAGATTAAGCGAGCTGGGTTATTTACATAATATCATACAAAAGGGTTTAGAAAGAATGTCAGCTGCTTCGAGCGGTCAAGTAGCCGATAGTTTCGTTGCGGCGTTACATTCAGAATTGTCCGAATACTACAGGTTCATAGCGCTTATCCAGGAAGAAGTAAACAGGTGCATAGAAAGCTAACTTAAGAATATTATTCTCAAGGTTTCTAAATATTAACAGTCGTTCAAATGTGCAATAGAGTTCAGTCCGAATCGGGATTGTACAGAGTCACGCTCTCCCATTTGCATCTTTGGGCATACGATCCCTTAGAAACATTGAAATGGCTGGCGAGTATCGTAAAAGCTTGCCAAGGGCAGAAGGGCGGTGCGCTGGCTTCAGCGATATATGAATTTAGTAATCACGGCGATGCGAGCGTGAAGAGATTGGTAAAAAGGATCTTGGAAAGCGTCTGCGACTCCCTGTACAATATGCTAATAAGGTGGATCGCGGACGGTGAACTGGATGACCCGTACAGAGAATTCTTTATTGAAGCTTGCGCCGATATCACCGGCGGAGACAGGTTGTGGCACGAGAAGTACCAAGTTCGTAACAACATGCTACCGTCTTTTATCACGAAGATGCAGGCGAAGAAGATTCTCGGAACGGGGAAGAGCATCAATTTCCTACGCGAAGTCTGTAAAGATTTTACTCCCTGGCAAGGAAAGCACACGGAAATGTTCAAAAATTTCAGCGAGGAACACAAAGGTGATTGCAGTCTATCATGTAAGTCCTAGGTCGGAATAACTGGTATCTGTCTTCAGTCGACGTCCTGTTCGATATGGATCCCGATGGTCGATTGCAAACGATGATGGACACGGCTTACAAGGAAACCTCGACGAGAGTAGTTGAAATCTTGACGAAACAGTATCACCTCATGGAACACCTGCAGGCTATCAAGGGCTATCTGTTGCTGGGACAAGGACATTTTATCCAACACCTAATGCACTTATTAGAGTTAGTATTCGGCATTACATTTCTCGCTTTTACATACGTTGTGAGACACATGAAAATGATGTCGCGTGTTTCTGCCAGGCCAGAATTGGATAAACCAGCCAATTCTTTGTACCCACACAATATATCTTCGATCTTGGAAACGGGAATAACAGCAACGGCTACGAAAATAGATGATTTGGATATACACAGGCGGTTGGACGTAAGATTACTGGCGCCGTCAGAAAACGAAAGAGGGTGGGACGTTTTCATCCTCGATTACAACGTTGGTGGACCCATCGGAATGGTGTGCCTTACATACTTTCATTCGCGTCGTTCATATAATGAAACGAAACAAACGAGAACGTTTATTCTAGATTTTAGAACCTTGCAGACAGATATATCAAACTGTGTTCTTTGCTTTGTGGAGAGCGAAACGAATGGAGTCGATATTGTCTGCGATCTGGAAACGTCAGATAACTTCGGCGAAGATGTTTCGTAAAATGCCTGAGGTATTGCCGATACAAACTCACATTCACTCGATCACGAGCAGCATGGTCCATCTGGTCCACCAAATGCAGTATTTCTTTTTATTCGAGGTACGATTGACCGATTCGAAATAACTTGTGCCTATCTAAAAATTTGCGAATCTTCAAGGTGATCGAATGCTCTTGGGACACGTTCGCGAAACAATTGGGACAAGCGGCATCGTTGGACGACATAATTACGTCTCACAATCATTTCATAGACGCCGTGAGACGTGGTACATTGTTAGATGAGAATTCACAGGTCAGTAACGATGATAAGGAAAATTATTATTTCACGTGTCGTCGTATGGCTATACATACATTTGAAATGCTAATAGGAGCTTATGGACCATTTACGTTCTGTGTATGGTCCGATTTTGGACCTACAAAATCTTGAAGAAACGTTTCTCACGCACGCGACGTTAGAGTACGAAGCGAGATTAAAAGATAACACCCCGTTAAGCACGAACTGTTCACTTTCCGAAAACAGTGACGCAGAAATTGCCAAGCGTCAAGCTGCATTTTCGAAGTACTTAAATACGCTTTCGATTCAGCTTAGACTGCTCTCGAGAACTTACCAGGTAACGCTTGGAATATATTAAATCATAGAATGTATTTAAATCTGTTTTCCTTTTGTAGGACAGGGTAAAGAAATTCCTTATAATGCTTGCCTCGGCGGAGGATGTCTCTTTACAATTGTTGAGCGTACGATTAGATTTCAACGAGTACTATAAGAGCAAGGACAGTCGGCTGGTCGTGCCGTTGACGTACTTGCACCGCAGACAGAGTGATCAAAGCTATCTCAGTTGTAAATAACAGGCGGGAAAACTTAATCGTGTCATTTTTTTACAAAACTTTTCGAAATAAATATTTCTTTATTTGAATCTCCCCTATCCTTTGAGTAAACGGTTGCAGGAAACAGTCGAAAATCCCGCTGAAGGTGCAACAGGATCGTAAGCAAAGTTAGGTAGCAGTCGTAACGCGTGTGTACACAATCAGTGACGTTCCGATAAAAATTTTATTGAAGTGACGCATCATTAAACGAATTGACTATTGATTACACTGATCGATCGTCAGACACTGCAAAATGGCTTTCCCTACCGACGACGTATTGAAAGAGGTATCAAAACTCGAACCTGTACAAAAGATGCGAGCGTCTGTACAATCTGCAGTAAAATACGGAGCAATGATCGGAGCGAGTGCGATTGCTGGCGGTATAATCGCTGGGCCTGTAGGTCTCGCAGTAGGTAATTAAATTTCTTATCTGTCATTGCGTACTTAACTTCGAGTAGAACGATTGTGCAACAGTTCAATTTCTATAAATAGGTGGTATAGTCAGTAGTTGCCTAGCTGGTAAAGCGTCATGTGGACAACTCCAATCAGTTCCATACATTATTATGAACGAATTGACGCATGAGCAGAGGAGGGAATTAGCAGGGAGAATAACTAACCTACTCGAATCGCAACATGTAACAACGATTCGCGATATTGTTCTTTCCGCGAGCAGCAACGCCGACTTGCAAGCAGCCATAGTTCAAATATTGATAATGTTTTTGTCATCGGAATTAGGTATGTGTATCAAAACGTAACCAAAAAGTACAAATTATAAATATAGTTCATTTTACTTTTATATTAAATCTTTTTAACTTCAATTAAATATAAATTTTAATCTATAACTGAGTTGAATAATCGAACTTACTGTGTGACAAATTTTAAATAAAAATGTATTTGAAAAGTTTGACGAAGTCATACTTACTGTGAACAAAACCATACACTTACCATGTAATGTATTTAATGAAACCATACTTACTGTCTAGCGTGAACAATAAAAAACGACAATGAACATAAGAAAAGTACGATATCAATAAATAGATTTATATATTTTATATTTCATATCGTATTATTGTACCTGAGAAGTTACTGGTAGGATTCGAACGGCGCGACTGCGCAATGCGTTTACAGCCGTTACTAACATGGCGGACGAACCGGCGCGAGTGAAAAGCATGCAATCATTGTCAAAAATTTCGTGATAATTACGTCGTTTTCACCTGTGAGACTCAAAGGTATCGTGCCTTTATCTTTAGCAAACATGTTTTCTTTAACATTATCCGTAACAATTGCGTGAATTGTATAAAAGAACGTGTTGTCGTGCGCGTTTAACCTGTGACGTCGAAGCGTCGTCGTAACAAGTGTTTTATACCTTTCCAAAGTAATTGTCACATAATTTCTCGTCATTTCAATAAAATATTCGAGATCCATTAAGTGTATTTGAAGTAAAGCGTGATTCTGTCGTATGTCCAGATCGTATGAGAAGTAAAAATGGGATATGCCCTGACTAGCAAATTCGTCGAGGAGATGGAGAGGAGATTCGACGTGACACCGAATAATTGGAGAACTTACAGGTAAATACAGGTAGAATTAAGGATTTGAATAGATCGATCAATTGTTGGTATGCATATAATTTATGTTGACCAATATGTCTAAGTACATTGAATAAGGAATTTCTGGTCTCGATATAGTAATTAGAGATGTTCGTCAAATGATGCGGATGTAAATTGTGGTCATGTAGAACTGAACGGTGAACTCGCATTCTTTCATTCGTGGATTCGTTCGGGTCGTCATTCTCTCTACGTTAGCTCATGTACACGCATATACACCTAGTTAACATCAAAATAAATCTATATCCGGCGTTAATTTATAATTTCAATCGGGAGCTATATACACGACGGCGTAATAATAACATACTATCTGTGTATCCGAGACGGTTCTAAATCGTCATCTAAAACATGTTAGATCTTTATCATTTACATACATACATGTACACATACCGTTACTTCTGAACTTTAAACAGTCCTCATATAACGTCTCTCGGGCCGCGAACTCATTTTTTATACACTAGGCACTCTTTCCACTAAACGAGTGAACAACGATCGTGCCTGAATAAAGCGCTACGTACGTCTAATTGTAAGGTAGCAAACATGTACACGACTTAGGGACACCGACACCGTGCCCGAAATTATCGTTCGTCGGCGATACTATACATCGATGCGTTGTATACTACAATTGAATCAACAGCCTCTAAATATTCCTTGGTAGACTTCGTTATCGCGTTCTCGAACGGTGAAGCTAACAGGCAGACGTATTCCCGATGCACGTTTCACGTCAATGATCGATCGACTGTTCCCATATTCGAAAATACGATAATACCATTTGCGTGTAACGGAGAAATCGTCGTACGCGTAGACGTCTGGCTGTTCGACGAACGCACGATAATATTAGGCGGTACGTGTGCTCGCAGGTTCGTAACGAGTTCTACCAAGGCCTCCACATTCCTTCCTCGTCTTTCGCGGGATGCTGCGGAAGAGGAGACGGCGAATCGATCCCGGTGACGAATTCGCTGCTCGCGCGACTGGACGGTCTTTCTTCGGAGTGGGATCCTTCGGTGGACAGCCGGGCTATAAACTGCTGCTGCTGTTGCTGGAGATGCTGATCGAGTTTCGTGGTAAGTTTAAGTTTCTTCGAAGTGGTCGTGAAGTCCAGCGGCTGTTCCGGTTGCTCGAGCCTGGGGCCTTTCGTCGACTTGGAGCCGATGGCGTTGGTTCCGAAGGTGGAAACGGGGGCGGAAGCGGAAACGGAAGCGGAAACGGAAGCGTTGGCGGACGTAGCGGCAGTGGCAGCGGCAACAGCAGCATTAACGGCAACGGCGGCCACGTCGTGCCACTCTTGGATATCGTCGTGGGGACGTTTGGCGGCGAGCTTGTCCGTCGCCTTCAGGAGGGACATGTTAGTGGCGGCCCAGACGGCGGTCGGCGGATTCGGACCGATACTGATACCGTTCGCCGCAGCGGCAGCCGCGAGTTGAACGTAATGACTAGGGAGCAAGAAGACGACCTGGCCATCCGGTAGCCTGGAAGGTATCACCTGCACGACCGACAACATGTTTGGATTCTGCTGCGAACCGGAGGCTTGATCGATCACCGGTAGGCCGGAATGGGGAACTGGACCCGGAGGAGGAGGAGGAGCTGGGGGCGGATGATGATGAGAGTCGAGATTCGTTTGGTTGGTAAAGGCCGAGGCTGGCCGGCTGTTGCCATTGCTACTGCTGTTGCTATTGTTGTTGTTTTCATCGCCGGCAGTACTGCTGTCCGGTCGAGCTGGTTCGATATCCGGAATCTCGGTTTTTATCAAGCCGACCGGATTCAGGGTTGTACTAGAGTGCGCAGCCGATGGGACATGGTGCTCCAACGGACCGGGACTCACCGTGCCTGTCACTCGATCCGTCACGCTTCCGGGACTGCTGCCTAATCCGCTGTCCGGCCTCGAACCCAGATCCAAGTCTAATTCCGACACGCAACTATCCAAATGCCGTAGCAACCTTTGCTTCACCCCAGGGTCCATCGGCGTCGTGTTCCCCGTGATTATATCCGGCGCATCCAGGTAACGACTTACCTATAATGCGAATTTCTTATATCCGTCGATTCTCTTCGCCATCCGATCCTAAACGTCGCGCGATAAACGATACCTCTATAGCTTACCTCTCTGGAACAATCTTGATAGCCGGCCTTATATCTCGATAAACCGGGTTGAGCAAGTGATCTCTGCCTTTGCAAGTGCCGAACCGTTAACTCTAAGATATCAGCCTTTTCGAGTTTGCTATGTTTCGTGTTCTCCAGCCGGGCGCTGTCAAGTATCAGCGCTTTCAGCGCTGCTAACGACTGATTGATTCTCGCTCTCCTTCGCTTTTCCATTAGTGGTTTGTTAGCCTAGAAGAATAACAATGTTCCTACTGGAGAACCGAGACGAGCCGCGTTCGTATAAAATCTAAAATCTCGCTAAATCGTTTTGATCGATCTGAATTCGCGCGTGATTCTTATCGCGGATCCACGATATATTTTTTTTTTTAAAGTAAAGGTGAGTTAGATGAAGAGGAAGAGTGTTACTCACTCGTCGACCGTCCGAGTGTTTGGGGCTCGGGCTAAGACTAGGATTCGGGCTAGCTGCCGGGCTCGGACCTTGTTGCAAGCTCTGTTGAGATTGTTGAGTGTGATGATGGTGATGCCTGTGAGCGTTTCCGGCCGATTTCTTTTCCTGATGCCTCAACGAGTGAAGACGCGCGGTCATCTTAGTAGGCCACGCGGGCCCGCAGCTGTGACGACGACGATAGCGAGGGAACCTCTTGCAGCAACGAGAATGAAGATGATAACAACAACAACAACGACGCCGACGACGACGACGGCGACGACGACGACGGCGGTGGCGACGACGGCGACGACGACGACGACGACGACGGCGTCGACAGCGACGGCGAGGTTGACGGTGTCGGCGGCGGTGACAGGATGAATCTCAGCGTCCAAAATAATCGCTTGGACGCAGCTGAGACACTCAGCATTTCGCGTTTGAAAAAGTCACGCGGCACCACGGCGACACTGAGGTATGCCGACTCGGACAGTTTCACCAATGATTTATGCAGGTACCACGGTCGATTATCCTTCAGTTCTTTTTACACTTTACACTATGTCAATTTACACTTGTTCAACGAGCGCGTTGCACACGCATCATCGGCTGCGACACCCTCATTTTGGTTCTATCCAACGCGAATTCGTTTCACCGTACAAGTTTTCAATTCGATTACTAAACTTGTCGGCGTACAGTTTCCAAGTTCTCGCACAGATTTACATAGGAGCACATTCTGGCGTGAACATCCACACCACGTGGATCATCGTACGATCACGATTTCTCACTCGCGTGCATCACAGTTTAACGCGTATGTGTTTTTAAGTACCAGTTTTAAGTGCATGCTCCTTTTAAATTCTTTACCGCGGTTTAAACATTTGAAGAAGACGCGTAAAGTATTGTTCTTTGACCAGGTTTCGAGTCAGAGTGCAATGCAAAAGAATGAGAGAGACGTGTCGGTATCTATTGTAAAACTTTTTGCATGTCACATGTGATGTGTATACATATCACGCTTTGCGTTCGTAAAGAGCGGCGGTCCTCTCGAAGCATATTTCCAACTGCGTAGGTGGAAGATATTCAAACGAATAACTTTCGATCTAGAAATCTCGTGTTCGCGATTTATCCAGGAACCGAAACAAGTGTTTATTTAAGTTTCGTTCGAGTTTCTTGTTTTAGTTTCCGTTCGAAACGCAGCGATGGGTGCGTGGAGGCGACTCGGCTGCATCCTCGGTGGATGGACGACGGTAACGGACTGCGAGCGGAGAAACGGTAGCTGGCGGGTGTTGAGCGCGATCCGCGCGTGTGTGGGCGAGAGAAACGGAGCGAGCGAGGTAGAAGCAGCGGCGAAGAGGAGAGGATCGGACCGCGTCGCGGTTGGTGATGCGTGAGGGCGGGGGTTGGATGGTGGCTGCTTGCCAGAACCGCTGCCCTCCACAGAGAGAGGATGGGGTTCGCTTGCCCGCTCACGCGCGCCCTTGCCTGCGGCTACCTCTACCCATCCACCCCCCTTTTTTCTTTCTCACTCTGCCACTCCGTGTCCCTCTCTCACACCCCGTACCTTTCTCTCTTTTTATCATTCCTACCGAGTTTCTAGTTGCACGCGACCTACCTTGATCTCTTTTTTCCTCTATTTTTCGCAATGCCGCTTACTGCCTAACAACCATGATGTGTCGTTAAAACAGGAACCAATTTTGGATCGTCTTAAAATTCTTATGCAGCGACGATCTAGATAGACGGTACGATCTCTTTCTCTCTCTCCCGCTCTCTCTCGCTCTCGAAAGGGAATAGTAGAATTTCTCTACGGACGAACGTTGCCAAAAATTGTCGTACGTCTCCGGCTTTTGACTCGAAATACAAATCCATACGCAGTTCGGATAGAATTTTGTATTATCGCGTATCGCGATGGAGCGGATGATAAACATCGTTACTGACCACGATGGCCTTTAATCTCCTTCTATCCGTCTGTCTAGTCGTCTGCCGGTGTTTCCCCCTTTGCATATTTTTGTCCATCCTTTCGGTCGTTCCTTCTGGCTTGATGGCGGCACACGCTGCGAACGAAAAGGCGGCAGTGGAAATGGCAGCAGCACCGAGTCGTCTCGCGTGTGTGTGACTGGATATACGTAGACGGGGATAACGCGGTGGTGTAGGGAATTACGAGTTGCCGAAGAAAGGTGCAGCGGAGGTAGGGGAGCGGTGAAGGGGATGGCGGCTCGTTGTCGGGGTTGGCTCGTGCCGCGGCGTGGCGGCATGATCTCGAGCGGCGTGGCGCGATACGGCACGGCACGGCTTGGCGCGGGACCGGCGTGGCGGTGGCGTGGCCCGAATGCGAGCCCGACTCGACGCGCGGTGGTCGAGGGAGTGGAGGAGCAAGTGCCGTCACAGGACAAGCTCGATCCGTGGTGTTCGGCTCGTCGAGGTGATGAGCCCTCGAGGCGGGTTGGGAGCGGCAGCGGGGGTGTGACGAGCGACTGGCGGCTGGCGGCTGGCGGCACGGCGGACGATGGACGGCATGCGGCGAAGAGGGTAGAGGAGGACCAGGACGAGGCGTGCGGCGGCGAGCGAGACGGGCGGCGGCCGCTTCATGGCCGTTTATATACGGAGGGAGAAAGACCGAATGGATGGACCGTGAAGACCGTGAAGCGTGCAGCAGCGAGTGTGTCGGAGGGTGACGAAGCGACACGCCGGTTCCACGGGATAGAGCGAGAGGGAGAAGGGAAAGAAGAGGCGAGGTTGCGCCGGTGGTGAAGGAGATACGCCGTCGTCGGCACGCGCGGCGCAAACCTCTCTCCACCCACGCATACTCGCCGATCCATGTACGTGTAGACGAACGTGCGAATGAGTTTGTACGCGAGAGCGTGCGTGTCAAGTTGCCTGCGTGCCAACGTGCCACCCTGTCGCTCCGCCACCGCGTCTCACAGCGTGCCGCACCGCTTCCTCTGCCCACGGTACGCTGCCTTGCCTACCCTATCTATGCCTCCGCGTATCTGTATTTCTGTATGAGCGAACGATACAAACTGACGCACGGTTGAAGAACGGGCCACTTCAGTCACGGAGCTGATCGAATTATGCCAACGAGGTTCTACTCAATTTTTTTTTTTTTTTTTTAATTTCGCCCTTTACAATTACGATAACGATACGTGGCTCGGTCTCTTTTTATGGGAACGCCGACGGATTAATCGTCTTCGCGGCGGACGTAAGAATATCTTTTTAGTTTCGGATAGGACAACGAAACAGCGAGAGAGACGGAGGAACGCGTACGCGAATAAGAAGAGAATTGGCGTAACTTTTTTACGGCGCGATGCATCAGACGGTGGCCATACCACGGCTGAGCCGTTACCACGCCGTTATCGCATCATTTTTTGCCACTCCATACCGCGTGTAACGCTCTCGGCATCGCGGTGCGCCTCGGTGACACGTTTTATATCGAGGACCCTCGTTTCGTTTCGATACTCCCGCGTTTCAATTTCTAAATCTTAACCCGGCGAACGAATTAATTCCGGAGTAGATCTTCTCGACGGTTTAATCACGCGTTTACGCGCGATCAGCCGAAAGGAAAATTCTTTCCAAGTTTTGATCTTTCTCGTCATCATTCCTCTCGCCGCTGTCGCCTCCGTTGAGTACAACTCGATCGATCGACGACAAACTCAACGTGCCACGTACTTTTCGCGATAAGGTGTACGATAGAGGAAGAGAAGGGAGAGGCGAAGAGAGGGAAAGAGCGAGTTTGCCCGGTGGCTTCAGCATTGATCGTTCCCAGAAGAAGAGAAGGAGCCGAGCGAAACGAAGAAGAGACGTACACGAGAAATTCGAGACGCCCAGCGTCGCCCGGCGGCGAAACGTTATCCGGTATGCAAGAAAGGACGTCCTCATTAGCGAGACCGACGTCGTTTCAGCTCAACAGGAGCGATCGTGGCATGGCATGGCTCGGCTCCGCTCGGCTCGGGTACGATACTCGTGTCAACCCGTCTCTCGGTTCAACTCGTTTCAGTTACCCCCCATATTTACCATATTTACGGTTTTCTCTTTCCCGCGGCCCAAAACATCGGCCCTTCGTGTAGGGGAAAAATTTAAAAAATCATTCTCCGACGATTCTATCGATGAACGCCGATGCATTTTCCGGCTCCCCGCGTCATCGTCCAAGGAGTTTTTCGAGTCGAGCCTGCTTCTTGGAGCTGCGATGCCCGACTACTAAACTGCGACCTCGGTTCGAGTTTGCCGTTAATCCGTTTATCGCGTTACCGCCACCGCCAGTCTAGCAACCCCCAACCGATTCACCTATACCGCACTCTACTTCACTGTCCAACCCATATCAACCACGTCGGAGGCACACACATATCATACCGCAAAGGCCACCGGCATATATCCCTCTTATCTTTTATTCAAAATATTCGTAATTTCGCTCCCATTGTTTTCTCCTTTTTTTATTTTCGTCACACGCGATCCGTTCCGAGGCCAAATAAAAGGGTTCGAACGGTATATCCCGCGGAGTCTAGACTCGAGATGGAAGATAGTTGCTCTTAGCCAGGGCTAGTCGTAATCGCCATTTGCCGCACCCCTTCAATGAACGTCCTTCTCTTTCCGCTTCAGTTTCTTTATCGCTCACTTTTTGGGTTGTTCGCGGCGTAGTATAACGGCCGTGTGCGTGTACACGGACGCGAACGGGAGGGGGACACAGATGAAGGAACGAATAACCGTTCTTCTCTTCCGTCGTGTCCCCCTGGGAATCCACAATCCGGCGTCCGCGATCTCGTCATCCACCCTCGCCCACCCTGGTCCTTCTCGTCCCACCATGCATCGACCCTTGCTTCCAGAGATCCTTCGGATTTTCAACTTCGCGCGACTGCAACCGAACGATTCGATTCTTTAAAAGATATTTCATCATTTCGGGCAATTCTAATCGTGGCCGAGGTATTTTCCAAGCGCTCTTATTCGATGTCGTATCGCTGCATCGGTCGAGAACTTCTCGCCAAGGGTGCTATTATTCGATTCGACGATCGATCATCGAATCGTTGCTTTTTCTCGTGACTACGTCGACGTAGGGCGCATAGTTTTTCGAAGGCGAAAAGTAAGTAGCCGCAGGTAGCACATGTTGCGTATCCGCGATACCAGCGAGAAAGCCATTAGCCAAATTGCGAGGTGTCTGCTCGTTGCATCGGTCTATTACCTTCGAGCCGCTTTTCATACCACCCTCGTCTTCCATCCCCTTTATTCCGCGCACCTCCTTCGATCTTATCCCTTTCGCACATTTCGTATCGAGCACTAGTTTTATTTATTTTTCTCTCTCTCTCTCTGCGAGCGCGACGAATATCGCGTTCCAGCGAAACGGATAAGCGCGGGGGCGGGTCGGGCGGTTTAATTTGAAAAATCTGGAAATTGCGTAGAATTATTGGAAGTTGCAGCGTACGGACACGGATTCCCGGTATAGGCGAGGCGGCGGGCGTGTGGAATCGTCGGACGTGCGGTCATGCGAGCGTGCACGGGCGTGCGATGTGCGGCGTGTGCGCGCGGCCCGGTTTCAAAGTGAGCCGTTAAATTATTCGTGGCGCTTTCGAGCGACAAATGGACCAGCGAGACGTTTTAAAGGGTCTCGAGAGTCGGACGCCTATAAATAGGCGGGTTAAGGAAACGTTTAAAATTAGCATACGTGGCATACGTATTGTGAGCGAAGTCTCTCGCGAAAGGTGTCGAGGCGATCATTTTTTCTTCACCGTCGAAATTCCGTCGAAATCTCTAATTGGAGAAACGAGAAAGAACGCGTAGGATAGGGAGAGAGGTGCGTGCTCGTCGGCGCGTGTACACACGTACCGCAGCCGCTACACGGTCATGGAATATTGATATGTAAATATAGCGGGTCCGGTAGCGCGGATGGCGGTGGCAGGCGTGCAACGCCGGTTATAGGGGTGCTAGCAGGTTAACGAGCGACTCGCAGCGCACGTCGCCGGGGTAAAGAGATATCTAGGAAAGTTGGAAGCCAGAGCGAGAGAGAGAGAGAGAGAGAGAGAGAGAGGGAGAGAGAGAGAGAAGGATAGATAGGGAAGTGGACAGGTCTCCCAAAGTCCGTGGTGTTATAGGTAGGTTGATGGAGGTCGAGGGTGAGACGGATAGATGGATGGATAGATGGATGGACGGATGGACGGATAGGTGGGAGCGAGAGAAGAAAAAGGCGGAAGGAGAAGAGGGATGAAAAAAGGAGAATGGCGAAGAGAGAGAATGAAACGGACACGAGAACAGCGTGGGTTGGGGGTGGCGAGAGCGGTAGCAGGAGAGGAAAGTAGGGTGAGTTGGGATCGGGATGGGCGAGAGCGAAGAATCGGGGGGACGGGGAGTTGGGTCGCTGCCGGCAGTATAACAGAGACGGTCGGGCGTGCCGCGGAGCGTGCCACCAAAGGGGATGAGAATTTTCCGCAGACCGTGGAAGTATTGTCGCCGGTGATTCGGACGAAAATATATTTTAAAAATCGAACGATGCTAGGAAACGAGGCGTTTACTGTACGATTAATCGTCTCCGCGATTAGAGACGAAACAGAGAGAAGATTATTTTTTATTTCGGTTAAGTTCGACGGACGATCGCGTGCATAAACGAGAGACGGGACAATAGGAGATCGGCGGAGTATAGGGACATGCCCTGCGGGACACGGCACGGCACGGGGTGGTTGGAACGGGCCGCGGAAACACGGAGAGGGCGGGAACACGTCGGTCGAGCGAGGGTTGCCGCGCTGTGAGCCGGAGAACGGGCATGTACGAGGGCCACTGGTGTATGTACGCCTCTCTACGCGCACACTTTTCTGACCGTGTGCACCGCGTTTCTCGCTGCTAAAACCGCCAGTGGTACTATCCGCGCGAGGGAAAGAGTCGAAGGATATCTTCTATAGGCGAACACCTGGAAGGCTGGCTCGACGAGACGTGCAAAATCTCTCCATCTTCCTCTCCTCGCCTTCGCCGATCTTCTCCATTTTTCCTTAGAATTAACAAACCTCAGATGCGTCCCGCGTTTTCGGACACTTCCGTTCCGTCTTCTCGCCTCGCGTCTTTCAACGGAAACACCGCGATTGGAATCGCTACTGTTTTCAAAGAAATCCGTCGATCCTAGATCGTTGAAACTACGAATCTTCGGAACAAGTCGATGGAATTCACGCGTGATTTATTTGCGCCGTAAATACCGATCGTGCGAACTACGCGAGGAACAACGGCTACGTTTAATTGTCGCGAAATAGAAGCGTGAGCTTATTAAAAAAATGCGAGAGCGTAGGAAGAGGCGAGTAAAAGAGACAACCGCATTCGTCATAGAGACGGTCGCGTGAAAGGGGAAACAGGGCTCCTCTGCTTAGAGCCGGTGGAGGATGAGAAGAAACCGAAACGATCGAGAGAAAGAGTAAAAGTAAAAGGAAAGGAGAGGAGATAGGGCAGCAGGCAGCAGCAGCTAGGCGAGCATTAAATCGAAGAAAGATAGAGAGGAGAGAAGAGCGTGTCGGCGAAGGACGTTATAAGAGGACGGGGTCGGGGGCCGGCGGGGGACCCGTAGAAGAGAAGAACGTTAGGTGGGATCGGGTGAGAACGCAGAGAAGAGAGCGGGTGTTGGCAGCGGCAGGAGGTGGAGCAGCAGGAGGGAAGAGACGAGTACGATAGCGGCGCTGCGGCGTAACGACGCTATAACGCGAGCCGCCGGGTGATTACCTACCACCTCCGTGCCCCGTTTACCCTCGTGCGTCGAGCAGCTCGCTTGTCGCGCCGTGCCGTGCCACGCCACCCTCGCATCGGGCCACGCCGAGCCAGCCACGCCACCCCGTCCTCTTCCTCCTCCTCCTCCTCCTCCTCCTCCTCTTCCTATCGCGCCGTGCTATCGCGTTGACCGTACTGTACCACCACCAGCAAGTCGGTAGCACTGAATGCCACGCCATCGACCCGACATTATGCCCTACGAATTCCTCCCTTCCTCCCGCCTCTCTCTCTCTTTCCCCGGCTCTTTTCGCATCCTGTTCTTCTCAGAGTCCGCGGGTACAGTGATCGCGGCCTCGTGCGTCAGTGTCGTCTGTGTCGGACGCGACAGCCGCGTTCGTGTCACGCTATAAGCTAGAGAACGTCAACGCCGTAAACGCGACGCCCTCCTCTCTAACGATACCGCCGCATAAGTAAGAGGAACCGAGTAGCCTCCAGGAGAATTCGTACGGATATATATGTACGTACCGTACCTACGTACGTACGTACTCGGGTATCCGACAGTTCCGTAGATACGCTCGCTCGATCGTATCATCAATTATCCATCTGTACAATTGTACGTAGGATCCGCGTTAGACGATTCTAGCCACGGAACGCGTCAAAATCTGTACTTGTTTATCACGCTCGACTCGCGTTCGACACGCTCCGCGTCATTCTTAATTAATTCGATCGCATACGATCAGTCGGTCGATTACTCCGCGACTGTTTATAAACCTCGATACCTGGAACCGTTCTGTACCGTCGAGATTCGGGTTACGATCAAACCAGGTTTTTAAAGTTACCGAAACTTATTCGCGTAATCCCTTCCAAGGATCTCTCTCGATCTGCTGCAGAAACGAGCGAGATGATTCTGAAGACACCAACAAATGACCATTTTTAATCAAAGACAGGTCTGGATAATGTAAATGAACGGACTTCTGGTTCTGGCAGATATTATTCGACAAATTCTATTGTCCAAAACTGACCAGTTCGAAGACTTCTCGTTCCTCTTTAATAGACAATTGGAATCGTGCTAAGACTTACGCACGAGATACGCACAGAGAATAATTTGAAACCGAGAAGGTCTCCTTTAAGCGATTTGACGATCTTTTGCTAATTTCCCACATTTCATCGAACCCGTTTCTCTCGTTATTTTTTTTCTTTTTTTTTTTTTTTAAATTCCCGTAGTCGCGTTATCTCAGCTTGCCAAATCACGTAGATATAAGCCCGTAGGATTCGCGTGCGAGGCGAGCGTCGATCGTTCGCCGCGGATAGGATATGTATGCGCGCTCGCAAGCGTAATAGCCTCGTTCCTGCCGCCTATTCGATGCGACGATACGTACGACGTCGCGTAGATCCGTTCCGAGGGTTTGAGTCCCCGCGCGATAAACGATACCGCGCCACGCCAAGTCACGCCATGCCGTTTCATTCCATTCCATCCGTGGCTGGGTCACGCTAGACGCGGCCTCGCGCCGTGAATCGGCAGGGGAATGGTCAGAACAACGCTTATACCTATAGTATACATCTAGCCAGGGCGTCGCGACGCGAGCTTCAAGAAGATGGTTCGATGCGTTCGTTAAACAACGGCTGAACGACCGATGCTTCTTTATTTTAATCGTCAGGATTCGAGAATTCAGGAATAGGTTCGATCGCTAGGAATTTCTGATAAACGGCGAGAGGGGGGGGGGTCTAAACGTCGTCGGGTAGTTAACGTAAGCGCGCTGGCTAGGCGGTAAGAAAAAGTTGAGAGCGAAGGAGAGGAGATGGGAGAGAGCCGAGGATAGTATTGGATAGCGTCGTCGTTAACGGTAATGACGGCCACCGATTGTCCCAGCGACGCCGGTCTGCACGCCGACGTTTCCCCGATCTCCTACCCTCCCCCCTTTACTTCTTTCCCACCCTCCAGTCACCCGCCTTATTGCGCCGATAAATATAGAGCCGACTCTTTCGAACCGCCCACCCACACCACTTACCTACACTTTCTTTCACTTCTTCTTCTTCTTCTTCTTCTTCTTCTTCTTCTTCGTTTTTACCTCAGCGACCTTACGTTTTCATCGAACATTACTCTTTCCTTTTCTCATCATTTTTAACCGCGTGCAAGTCAGGTTTCTCTTCGAGACGGAGAGTCGTAATTTCCACGAGAATAGAACGAGGTCGGACGTTCCGACAACCGTGAGGCGTTCGCGATCGAGGCATTGGAAACGAAGGGTGGATCGTTCGATGATAGTCAGAGGGCAGAAAGACAGACGGAAGTACAATTTGTAATCCTTTTATTCGCCTCGAGGAAAGAACAAATAAAACTGTATATTACAACGTTAGGCAAATTATGAAAAAACCACTGATCAAAATCGCGTTTCCTCGGTAGGTTTCATTAATACATTTACATTATATATATATATACGCATTGTGGCAAGCAATGACCATAGTCTCATAGCGCAGAAATTCATTTTGGTGATTGTAAAAGCCAACACGCGTGAGATACCAAGGGGGGGTAGGTTACTATGCAGTACGTACATTATTACATGTGTAGGATTTATTAAATACGAATCGCACGGTATCACCACGTCGCGTATAGTAGGTACAATAACGGTTGTGCATTGCAGTTTCATAGAAAATACACGCGTGTGGTGGTGTTTCATTGCGTCGATTAGCCCGCGATATATCTCACTGCCAGCTCTATTTCATTAGGCATCTTCCTAAGAACTTAACATACGAGAGTAGGTCCATACGAAAACGTTCCAGGAAAATGTAGCGATGGCAGTGAACAGAGTGAGCCCTCATTTCCGAGTAACTAACGATAAGGATCATTACTCCCGTCCCCCGTGTCCTCTTCGCTCGCTTTATCTCTTCGTGTCGCACGTCGACGTCTCGTCGCATCTCATAGTTTCTTGTACCAGAACAGGTAGTGATCCCCCTCGCTGACCTGCAGGTCGTCCACACCTGAAAAACGGTTCGAATCAAGAGACAAGATCAACGGACAAAGTCGCGCAGTTTGATCGTTCTTACGTACCGCCGGGTGCGACCAATTGATTTCCCGGCGGTGAGGTCGGATCCGGCGGGGAAGTGAGTCGATACAACAGCCAGAAATGATAAGACATCGGCTCCTCCTTGTAACCGGCTATCGTGTGAACGTAGTGTCCGTTCGGCCACTCGGACGCGACGAATTGGAAGTGCGGCGACATGTCCGCGGCCAACAGCATCACCTCGTAAAACGTTTCGTTCTTCGGCGCAGCAACGATCAAGCTGTACGTCTCGTTCACGTTGCTGCCTACCCAGAGGGTGTAGGACACGTTCACCATCACCGGCGCCACGGCGCTCATCGTAGTCGTCGTCACGCCGTCGGTGTTATTGCTCACCGCGTTCCCAGAATTGTTATTCCCGTTGCTCGCGTTCAAGTTGCTCGCCACGGTGACGGCCGTCACTGCGATCGATACGCCGTCGCTATGATTTCCGGGAATCGCCACCGGTTCTGCAGTAGAAATTTCCTCGTAATCGCAACTTCGGCGAAGTTATTTAGAAAACTGAAAACCTGTTACCGTTACTATTGGTAGACAGTCTCGGTGGCGAGGTCTCACCGAGACCCTGGCCACAGTCCAGAGTGCGAATGCTGGCCAGGCCACGCGGAGCAACTCCGAGCAGTGCTTCTGCAGTTGCTCGGACGTCTCCAGCGAACGAACCGTCGGGTCTTTGTTGATTCATCAACCAGGCCAACGCGGCTGACCTGTTCCAATTGTCGGCAGGCTCGTTCTCCGCTTCCTCGAGAGCTTGCATGACCAAAGCCGTGGTCCTCACATCCCCGAAGCTGCCGTCCAGTCGTTGCTGTTGTGCCAAGCTGATCGACGGCTTGCGTACGAAATGGTGAAGATTTCTGTGTCTGTGATCCTGTACGATGCACTTGAGTGCCAAGATCACCATCGCCACCGTGTCTGATAAACGAGATAAAACGAATGAAAAAGGTATACATGGCATAAGAATCGTTAATGAGAATTGAATACGCACCGACGTTGTGGTCTTGCGACGCGTTCGCGATGTCCAGCAGCCGGCGAATCTGCCTCTTGCGCACGTGAGCCTGTGCGTTGCACGCGGCCAACGTCGTCAGGGCGAATTCGTAATCGGTAGGCGGTTCGTGGTGTTGAAGCGTTCCTATCAAGTCGTGACCGTGAAACTGTCTCGGATCCGTGCACATCGCGTTCAATGCGAGAGCGTAACGTGCCAATCGCACGGGCGAGTATCCAGTTTCCCTGTGCCTGTCGAACGCAGACTTGTACCAGACCGAATTGTACCTCAGCTTCGAAACGTACCTCCACAGTAGCAATACTATTTCGAGTTCCATCTGTTTACCGCTGAGTTGCAGGTCCAAGGGAGCCACGGGGGCGACGTTGTCCTCCCGTGACAGGTTCCCCAGCCGCAGGACCAGCAGTACTCGATGAGTATCGTTTCCCCAACCGGCGTCCTTGTTTCTCTGACTCCACAGCCACGCGGTAGCCCGTTCTAAAATATTTTCCGCCTCGGCGTCGTTCGAGCTAGTTCCTCCCAAAGCATTCCCTGAAATCGATATCTCCAAGTTTCTATTTTTCAGGATCAGGCCACGGATCGATTAATCAACGTACCTTCGGCATGGACCGCCAGGCAACCGACAACCAACAGCAAAACTGTCACACCTGCCATGCTGGCTCGTCCCCACATTTTCATCCAGGATCCGACGATGCACATCTATTCGACGATACTCTGAACGGCGACTAACTGTCTTCCGGTATCCACTGAACCACACACGGGAATCTATCGACTTTCCTTCTGGACCTTGGAAATATTACTCGGATCGAAGTAAAGGCAGTTCACGAAGCGTTTGTCATGAACGAACACCGGGAAGAGGCATCGCTAGGGCACACTGCGGCCAGGTTGAAACGTTGCTACGCCCGCGGAAACGCTACTGAGAACAACGCGATATTGCGTGGGATCGATATCGCGCCGCGGCACCCGCCATCCTTCCGTCTATATACCCTCTCAACCTGTATGTAGGTACGAGTGGAGAAACGTGTATGTGCACGCTCTCCTCTTCTCTCACCCTGTCCACGCTCCCCTACGTTTCTTTCTATCCCGTCGTCACCCGCTACCGCCCTAGCCCTTACCACTTTTAATACACGCCACCGTCCGTTCGTGTCCACGAATTAAATATATCCTCTTTATCAGTCGATGAATTACGATTAGACGTCGGCTTCGACTTTGTTCAAATTTTTGTCGGCATGTGCTCCTTTTATAAAACGGCGATGTTGTAAATGCGAATGGAATCGTTACGTTTTCCGATGCGCCTGTCCAGTACTAATGCGCAATGCAGATCAATCGACCATCGCGGTGCTTATCACCTACCTTATCGTATGCGGTAACTGTTTGAACGCCCGTTTTCCGAATGCAACGGAACGAAACTATTAGTACAGTAACGAGGGAAAAAGGACTGTTATCTTTTTCTGCCGTTTACACACCAGATTGCTGCGCGTTATATCATGGGTTCGCGCCACGTGCCCCCATGTTCCCGAAACCCCGAACTATTCAAATATTTTTTTCGACTTTCTCTTGACTTCTCTCCAATCGCTTCAACCAGCATAACTCACCCGGTCGTAAGTGGATACCTGGTGCTCTTTGGCCGTAGGCCATTATTAAGGGTGCATAGGCAGTATACTTAAACTATACTGGAATGTTGAATTTGTTATACGTTCCTATTACTATTAAAATGCTAAATTTTAAAATAATTCACAGGTTTTTTGAAAAATTATAGTAGCTTAACATTTTCATGTAGTCTTATGCTAATCAGCAATAAGCCAAAGAAAACTTTCTGCTATTTCGTGTGCGAAGTTGGAAGAAATAACTGACTTAAGGAACTACAAGCCTAAAAAGTCTGGGATTTTTAGAATATATTTCGATATTTCTCGATATTTTGAGAAAAAAAAAATTTTCAATTTTTCCGAGATTTTTCCAAGAGGTACCCCTTCAAATTTTGCGAAATTTTCGTTTTTTGCCAATAACTTCCAAACGGATGGACTTAGGGAGACGTATATGGGTCCATTTTGTAGAGGACGACGTGATCTACAATCTCTATATAACAGTTTCTCGCTAGCATCAGTAGTTTACGAGTAATTTGCAAAAAACTGTTTTTCGTTTTTTGCAAATAACTCGGTAACTATTGGCACTAGCGAATTCTTTTTAGGCAGAAATTGTAGATCTCATCGTCCTCTACAAAATGAGCCCACAAGCGTCCACCTACGACCATCCGTTCGGGAGTTATTGAGGAAAAACGAAAAGTCTTTTTAAAAGTTCGCTATTTGGACGGGCGAATTCGCCTTCAGATTCTGCAATTCGCCCGTCGAAATAGCGAACTTTTAAAAAGACTTTTCGTTTTTCCTCAATAACTCCCGAACGGATGGACGTAGGGGGACGTATGTACGCTCATTTTGTAGGGGACGACGAGATCTACAATTCCTGTGTAAAAAGAATTCGCTAGTGCCAATAGTTACCGAGTTATTTGCAAAAATCTGTTTTTCTGTTTTTTGCCAATAACTTCCAAACGGATGGACTTAGGGAGACGTATATGGGTCCATTTTGTAGAGGACGACGTGATCTACAATCTCTATATAACAGTTTCTCGCTAGCATCAGTAGTTTACGAGTAATTTGCAAAAAACTGTTTTTCGTTTTTTGCAAATAACTCGGTAACTATTGGCACTAGCGAATTCTTTTTAGGCAGAAATTGTAGATCTCATCGTCCTCTACAAAATGAGCCCACAAGCGTCCACCTACGACCATCCGTTCGGGAGTTATTGAGGAAAAACGAAAAGTCTTTTTAAAAGTTCGCTATTTGGACGGGCGAATTCGCCTTCAGATTCTGCAATTCGCCCGTCGAAATAGCGAACTTTTAAAAAGACTTTTCGTTTTTCCTCAATAACTCCCGAACGGATGGACGTAGGGGGACGTATGTACGCTCATTTTGTAGGGGACGACGAGATCTACAATTCCTGTGTAAAAAGAATTCGCTAGTGCCAATAGTTACCGAGTTATTTGCAAAAATCTGTTTTTCTGTTTTTTGCCAATAACTTCCAAACGGATGGACTTAGGGAGACGTATATGGGTCCATTTTGTAGAGGACGACGTGATCTACAATCTCTATATAACAGTTTCTCGCTAGCATCAGTAGTTTACGAGTAATTTGCAAAAAACTGTTTTTCGTTTTTTGCAAATAACTCGGTAACTATTGGCACTAGCGAATTCTTTTTAGGCAGAAATTGTAGATCTCATCGTCCTCTACAAAATGAGCCCACAAGCGTCCACCTACGACCATCCGTTCGGGAGTTATTGAGGAAAAACGAAAAGTCTTTTTAAAAGTTCGCTATTTGGACGGGCGAATTCGCCTTCAGATTCTGCAATTCGCCCGTCGAAATAGCGAACTTTTAAAAAGACTTTTCGTTTTTCCTCAATAACTCCCGAACGGATGGACGTAGGGGGACGTATGTACGCTCATTTTGTAGGGGACGACGAGATCTACAATTCCTGTGTAAAAAGAATTCGCTAGTGCCAATAGTTACCGAGTTATTTGCAAAAATCTGTTTTTCTGTTTTTTGCCAATAACTTCCAAACGGATGGACTTAGGGAGACGTATATGGGTCCATTTTGTAGAGGACGACGTGATCTACAATCTCTATATAACAGTTTCTCGCTAGCATCAGTAGTTTACGAGTAATTTGCAAAAAACTGTTTTTCGTTTTTTGCAAATAACTCGGTAACTATTGGCACTAGCGAATTCTTTTTAGGCAGAAATTGTAGATCTCATCGTCCTCTACAAAATGAGCCCACAAGCGTCCACCTACGACCATCCGTTCGGGAGTTATTGACGAAAAATGAAATTTCTTGTCAAAAGCGAAAGTTCTTGGCTCCAATATTACTGCACCAGAGAGAAAAATGGGTTCGCAGCCGTGAACGCTAGATGGCACCACAAGCAACTCCAAATTCATTTTAACCTATGTTTTAAAATGTTAATTAACCTAATAATTGATTAAATAATAAGTAAATGATACAATGAACGAATAACGTTTATTATTTTTTAAAGTTCAGGATTTCAGAATTTATCTCTTGTTGCACTTTTACTGTAAAATAACCTAAACGAGAACTCTCGTTACTTTAGTTCCCGTCTATTCCACTAGAAAGGAACGGAACAGATGACACATGTAAATCTGTTTTAGAGTGGAATTGTTTTCGTAATCAGTAATGACAGTAATCACGACGATGTCGAGAGAATTGTTAAAAACTCTCGTCAACAATGATAAAGAAAACGTGTGGACAATAACGAAATGATGAAAATCGCTGGAACTCGTGACAGGAGATCGAATATCATATTTCATCTGTCAGCTCGTCTGGCAAAATCAGCTGTGCTCTGATATACACATTTCGTTCACTAATCGATTAAAAGCAGTAACAATGATAGAATCATCGGCGTGGAACTCGAAAAAGGACGAGGCCGTGTACAAAGCGGCGGGTTCGATACATTTACGAAAGTATGGACAGTTTTTCGAAGATCTGGCGGAGAAGACGTGGAAGAGGCATTCCACGTTGGAGTATTTTATGGAGGGTCCTCTTCGGCTCGTTTCCAAACCCGTCGAGGACATCAGTCTGATAAACCTGATCGAGATGGAAAACAAGTTCCTGTCCAAGTTGCTGGCTGCTGTCGCTGCGACTTGCAGGGAGGTCAGACTCCTCGGTATAGAAGCTAAGACTCATTACAAAAAATTGTTCACCCACGGGGAGAGAGGAGCGGAGAACGATCAGAGCGATATCACGTCTCTCTTATCAGACTTGCAAGATCTGTCCGTCTTCGTGAACAGATTATGGACCGTGGTGCGTCTGACCACGGAACAACTGTCTAGTCTGTCCAGCGATTCAAACGACGTTTATTTGCCTGTGCTTATCGAGCACTTAATCGATTTGTTTGTAATCGTCCTGACGCTGGACGAAATCGTGGAGTCGCAACCTTCCCTGTTAGAGCAATGGAAGAAGTACAGAATGAACGTACGCTCAATCATGCACAACCCTTCGCAATTTGGCATAAGCGAATCCAAGCTGCACACCTTTGATAAATTGCTAAGAGATTTGCAGGAACATTTATTGAAAAAGGTTCTGTTCCCGAAGACTGTCGAGCGCGTGATGGACGTGAACAAGGGACCGATAATGAGCGAACAGATTACCAATTATTTAAAGAACTTGATCATGGATATGGAGAACAAACCGAACGATTACGTTTCGTTGAACAAGCATTGGATAAGGATAAACGTGGGAGTCGTGGTGGTATCGAAATTATTTGGAACCTGTGACAAGAGACTGATCAAGAGGGTGCTCGAGAACAATAGAAAGTTTTACGCTGTTAGTCTAATTGGGAACGTTATCTGGATACCGAGTAAATTCCTCAGTGATTTTCTACCGAAGGAAGCTGGGAACCCCGTTAACCAACAGGTGGGAGAAAAGATCCTCTCCACCAGGATACAGAGGCTTCCCCAGGTTGTGAACACTCTGGTTCACAAGGTCGTGAACTGGTGCATTGAGATGCAGAATGTCCTAACGCGGACGAGCCTCCAGGTCTCGGACATTGGACAGAAACAGACTCTGTTAGTCGATCTGGTCGCTCGACTGTCTCAGATCAAAGAAATCGTATCCTTCGTAATAAATATGCACGCGACCCTTATCAAACCGATGAACCGTAACACCGTTCAATTGATCTGTAGACTAATTGAAGTGCAGAAGTCTTTGGAGACTATGTTTTATATTCTAGGACCGGTCGTGGTGCAATCGCAGAGTCAGGTTTTGCAGTATTTGAGTTATTACATCTTGCTCACATTGGAGACCGCACGAAAGAGTCTGATTCAGAAGGACAAGGGTTACAGCAAAGAAAAATTGGATGCTCTATCGTTGGTGGGTTTGAGCATGAGACTGTTGAACGGTCCGGCGAGCGCAGACAGGAGATTGATAATCAGATGTGCTCTAGCTTGTGCCAGCCAGTTGACAGACACGTTCAAAGAAGAGGACATGGTCAAGCTGAGATTTTTGTTAGACAACTACGACATCGTTGCGGAGCTGTACAACATTGTAACAGAGATCTGCGATTATTCTATCCTGCTCTACCATCAGAACATAATCCCAGCTTACTTCTCGTTCGTGGTGGACAGTAATCTCAGTACAAACCACGTGGTTCATCTGCTGAACGCGTTTAACAGTACCGTCAACGAACAGGAAGGACTGAATTTAAAACAGAAGAGGATCGCACAGTTCAAGGAGATGCTGACTAAGAATATTTTGGAACCCGTTTGCCACGAGATCGAGACCAATCTCAGGCTTCACGTTCACGCGCATTTGAAGCTAGATTCAAACAATCCGTTCAATATCGGTGCGAAGGACGGTGGGAGGATGGTGCGATCGTTGCCACTGCCTTTAGCTAGCAGTATGATTTACGCGAAGAGATTCATAGAACATTATCTGGACGACATGTTCTACAATTTAACCACGGTGGCTCTCCACGATTGGAGGACGTACCGAATGATGCACGCTTTGGCTCATTATAAATTGAACTTGGACACCGTGCAAAATCATTTGCCCGCGCAAACGTTGGAGCAAGGTCTGGACGCGCTCGAGATAATGAGGAACATCCACGTGTTCGTGTCCAGATATTTGTACAACTTGAACACTCAGACGTTCATCGAGCATGTTAGTAATAATAAACATTTAAACACGATCGGGATAAGGCATATTGCGAATTCGATAAGGACTCACGGGACCGGGATCATGAGCACTACAGTTAATTTCGTATATCAATTTTTACGTGTGAAGCTACATACGTTCTCGCAATTCTTGTTCGACGAGCACATCAAGTCGAGGCTGATGCGGGACATCAGGTTCGTAAAGGTTCAGCGTGAGAACGGCGCGACGCCGTACACATACGAAAGAGCGGAGAGGTTTCAGAAGGGGATCAGAAAGTTAGGCATGACTCCGAACGGTCTGAGCTACCTGGATCAATTCCGGCAATTGATCACTCAGATCGGAAACGCGTTGGGATACGTCCGACTGATCCGATCCGGTGGATTGCACGCGAGTTCTAACGCGATCTCGTTCCTCCCGAATATCAACTCCTCGGTGCCGTTCGAATTGATGTGCAAGAACTTGAATTACAGCGAGACCACGCAGACGGCTGCGAAGTGTCTCGAGAACGACATCGCGAATCTCGTTAGGAATTTCACGGAGGGTATAGAATACTTCAAACTCCTCGTGGACGTATTCGCGTCCGCGTTTCGGGACACCGAGTCCCATCATTTGCAACAGTTTTACGTGATCGTGCCGCCGCTGACGCTCAGCTTCGTGGACAATTCGATATCGAATAAAGAGAAGATGCTTAAGAAAAATCAAACGGGCGCGGCGTTCACCGACGACGGTTTCGCGATGGGGATAGCATATATCAATGCTCTTTTGGATCAATCTTCGGAGCTGGACAGTCTGCACTGGTTCAAGACGGTAGATCAGCACATAAATAATGAGAAGGAGGCCGCGGAAGGTAAAAACGACCACGGGGACGAGAAGCTGCAACAAACAAGGGCTTTAACGTTGAAACGCTTAGAGGAGAGGAGCGCCGAGTTTCAATTACTGTATTACAGTCTGTCCGGCGCTAGAGTGTTCTTTAAACAGGCTGATACGTAATACTGGGATCATGAAATTCGATTAAATACTTTTGTTTCATATTTTTCAATTGCTGTACAAAGAACACTGTACAATGTATCATACTATTATGCTATAAATTTATTTTATTTTCGTAATCCTTTTTGTAACCTGTATTATATAATATATACATTACAATAATGTGAAAATAAAAGTACAATTAACGGACTGGAACCGAGTTTGATTCAGTGAAGAGACACCAAAAAACTATGCGATTAAGTTTCCCGTGCATTTACAGCTTGGTACTCCTTTAAGTTCGTTCCCGTGCCTCTGGCACGTGTTATACGTAATCATTTATACGTATAACAGTCCACTACGTCAACGTTATTTTCTATCAAATAATTGATGGCTAGACGAACAGACTAGAATTTATTACACTTATGACTCTAAGCACATTTCGGAGAACGCATTTTATAAATACGAAAGCATTTAAATCAGTCGAATGTTAATTTTGTCTTAGATCCATTGGTACCTACAAATATCGTTTACTCTATGCTTCAACAACAACAATTATTTGTGATAGCAAATACCTCGCCCCAAATAAATATAGACTATGAAAAACCATTGACTTAAAATGAGATTCAAATATCATTGCTTCAAGATCGAGAAATCAGATTTACGAGGAAAGATATTTGTTTAAATTTGACAGACACTTGGTTTAACAGTATGACCGTCGCAATTATTGTACTGTTACTATGTAGTATATTGTACTGTTTACTATGTAGAGCATTTACTTATTGGTGATACCTTATTAAAATACGAAATACTCTATCGTTCTGCATCTTTCGAATGTAATAGCTAAGGGTATATACTTATAGTTTAGCTTTTGATCTTAAAACCCTCGAGCCGGTTGCCCCGACGATTTAACAACGTGCCAAGAGACGTTAATCAACGCCGTACGTGAACCCTGCTAATTGATGCCTAATCAAACGATTCGCGCCAGTGCTATTTCGGTCTAAATTAATTTTCCACTCAACAATTAATGCAGATATGCTTGTTTCTTTACCTTCTGGACAATGAATTACTGCAAGTATCCTTCCATTTAAATTAAAACAAGTAAAACCGCTGCAGGTTCCTAAGACTGAAATCTGGACGATTCTTCGGGATCCAATAGATCGTCGCAAGAAGCCGTCGGTGGTAGCAATTGTCTACCTCCGCGTTTTTTGCTCCGCGTGAATACTTTGGTAAGTTGTGCGAACTTACGTCGGGACACTGAAAAAGTCGAATCGGATTAAAGGCTCGAAGAAATCCTCGCGATCATGCCACAAGTACCTTTGCCCATGTTTTTAAGTCTTTCTTTGAACAGATCTTCGTCGTCGTTGCTGTTCTGCCCGGTGCACTTCTCGTTTGCCTGAATCTTCGTATCTACAATGAGAACTTCGAATAGCATCTCGGAAGATCGCGGCTCCTATCAAACTTGCTAACCGTTTTCTAAAGTCGACAAGAAATCCTCGTTCCAGCGTAGCTCGGCCATGAACTCCTCGTTCTGGAGGAACATAGCGATCCGTTCGTCCTCCAATAACGAACTGTCCTGCAAGTACGACGTCTCCAAGCCGTCTTCGGTCACTTGTTGTGGCAGTCTAAGGAACGTGTCTGGCAACGGTCCCAAAAAAGCTGGCTGCCACTTGCGTATAGATTTCATGGACACGTTCGAATTCGGCAGCGTTTTCTGCGAGGTCTTCGAGGTGCCTGGTGACTTTTCATTCTGCTCTATCTCGCTCCGTATCTTCTCGTTCTCGTTGTCAGTGCTCATGGTCAGTAGCTGGTCGATCGTCGTGTCCACCGCTCCTTGATTCGACCTCAGCACAGCCTAAAGAGTTTCCATTTTTCATATCCAACAGAACGTGGACATTCGAATGTTTTACCTCGATCACGTCGTCGTCCATTTGCGGGAACATGTTCTTGAAATCTGCCATCGCCTGGTAGAACTCCAAGGTAGTCCTCTGTTGCTGTTGCTGCTGTTTCTGCTGCTGTTGCTGCTCCATAGCTGAAGCCATTGTACTGTTTCCAAAACTGGTCTCTGTGTCAAAAGATTGATCTCGATCACGGGTCTGCATCACGGTTTCGTGAATTTCTCTCGTAATTTCAATCTCACCTTGAGATTTCGATAAAATTAAACAATAAATAAACGGTAATCCATGATGGGTAAAATTATTGCGTTACTCTCATCCTATTTACTTAAACGAGTTAAGTACATCTTACGGCACCGTTTCGTCGATGTGAGAAACGAAAGTCCGGTCTTGTAACACGTTAAATATCATATGGTTCGTTAATCGAGAAGAAGCACATGATCGAAAACGGAGAACACTCGGTACCGTGTCATGTCATTAGGGACTGACGAGACTGACATTAGAAAGAACAGCCGCAGAGTATGTATTCTTACAGAGGCGGAACTCTCGGAATGTTCCTATCCTCGAGCGCTACTTGCCTCGAATCTATTTTTCAATACGATGCGATAAATTAAAGGTGATAAGACGTACGTCGTACATAGAATAACATGCGAAATAAGCGTTTATTACTTGGTGTATGCGTACGTCTATTCGTACTCGCACTTGAAAATTTTCCATTCCTTTCGCACAGAACTTCGCATTTTCATGCGAGGCTCGGTCAGTTCAAATTTATGTAATAACTCATGAATAAACATCGCCGCAACGAAATTTAACAATAAAATACGTGAGCTGGATAAACTAGTGTGCTTGAATATATATCGGGAGGCGAAACGTTCAGACTTGAAGCTGACAAATCGTTTCTAATCACGCTATAGGCTCGAGGTTACACCCGAGGAGAGATGAGAAGGAACGATGAACGCTATTGACAATTTGCAAAATATCGCCGATAAAAAATACATAAGGTTCAAATCGACGAAACGGAACGATAACAGAGTTCAAGATGTAAAAGGTCAGTCGGGGCTTGATAAACAGCAAAAGAGGCGACGAGGTAACTGTCTTTTCTTGATTGTCATTTGTTCAATTAATTATTCGTCAACAATTATTTAAAATACCGTCACCTGGTCTGTTTGTAAAAACGATATCATAATCGTAGGCGCATCTCTTGTTCAGTTCTTACGAACTGAATTAACGAGAGGCTACCAGTTAGAAAATGACGAGGAAAGGTTCTCCGCGAGGAGAGAGAAGATTTACTCGTTCATGAAGATACCAAGGGAGGTAGAAAAGTTCATGGCCTACGGTTTCTTACAAGTACGCACAGTATCAATAATTTTTCACTCTGCTACTTTATATAAAGCCTACAAGGTGTATCACTTATCTCGTTACGTATTATCTGTTACAGTGTGTCGACTCTTTTCTATTCGTTTACACGTTTTTACCAATAAGATTCATGATGGCACTATGGACAGTAATTGTGAGGCTTTTCTCATACTGTTTCAGGTAGATTCCAATGATTCTTCATTTTACAAGGATTTACTAATTACTTGAAAAAAACTCATTTGATCCTTCAGGAACGAAAGAAGTAATTCAAAGACCGGAGAACAGCATCTGAGACCACGGGAGGTCTGCGATCTCCTAAAGGGAATCGTAGTGATCAGCTGTTGGCTGGTCACGTGGAAAGTGGACACTTCCATGATGTATCATCTGGTCAAGAGCCAGTCCGTGATTAAGTTGTACATATTCTACAATATACTGGAAGTCGGCGATAGATTGTTCAACGATTTCGGTCAGGATATAATAGACGCGCTTCTGTGGACTGCCACCGAGCCCAGATCGAAGACTCAGTCAGGATCCCAACATTTAGGAACTCTACCTCATTTATTGTTTGCCGTTACCTATGTTTGTATCCTTTTAAATACCGTTTCGTATCTGTCGATTTTGTTTAAACATTGTCTCTCAATGAAATTTCTCCGTACGATATATTTTCCGATCTGATATTTGCTTTTATAGTATTACACAGTATACTAGTGCTTTTCCAAGCGACAACCTTGAACGTTGCTATAAACAGCAGCAACAAGGCTCTTCTTACTATAATGATGTCCAACAACGTGAGTCTTTCCACTGTGCGTTTCCCCTTGCAGCGTGATCGACGAACATTCTGTTCCAGTTTGTAGAATTGAAAGGTTCCGTGTTCAAGAAGTTCGATAAGAGCAATCTGTATCATCTGTCTTGTGCGGACGTGAGGGAACGTTTTCATTTAATGATGCTCCTTCTTGCTGTGAACCTTCAAACGATGAAGGAGTACGCGTGGAAAGCGGAACGTCTCGCAGTTCTCTTGCCAGACTGTATAATGTTACTCTTAGCCGAAGTTCTCGTCGACTGGGTAAGTTAATACAAATCGTTCGTTCGATAAACAGATTTCAATGCATCGATGATTCTCTTCAGGTGAAGCATGCGTTCATAACTCGGTTTAACGAGCTCCGTTCCACGGTGTACAGGGATTACACCATAAGTCTAGCTTATGACATGGCTGAAACGCGTCAGGAGATGGCCTTTTCCGACTCTTCTGACCTAGTAGCTCGGAGAATGGGTTTCATTCCTCTTCCTCTGGGCGTGGCGATAGGGAGAGTGCTGTGCACGACTATCACTCCGTCGGCTAAGCCAGCCAACTTCATCCTCTTGCTTCTGGCATACTTGATCCTGATAGCGTTGAGGATCTTGAACAGCGTGGTGATCCTCGGCAAGGCGTGCGATTTGATGTCGTCGTACGAGGAGCCGGAAAACGAAACAGTTTCGTTGAAACGCTCTTCGACTGGTACAGACATTAGGAATCCGAATCTGTCGACGACGATGCTGTCCAATAGCGCGGTCAGCTTGAACAACGTCAGCCTGAACGAATACGTACCTATCTCGAAAACTGACGCGGATCACGAGAAGTTAAAAGCGGAGAGCGTGGCCACTGAATAGTATCTTCTGGTCGAAATTAAAAATCCGAGTTCGATGATCGTCTCTCTTATTTCTTTTGAGATACGTAAACTATTGTAAATAACAGATCACAGCTGTGATAATGGCAGCGACTTAATCGATCGTGTTAAGTACTGCCCCTAATGCTGAATGGTGAATATTTATTTAGAGTTTCGTTCGACGAATTAGACGTTTCGGTTGCAATCGCATGGCGTACGTTATTTGCATAATGATATACATTTTTCAGTATTTAAGGGCGATTACATTCTTGTAAAATAAGATTCGACCATTTTTTAAATCAAAAGATTGCGGACATTCGTGAAGATGTACAAGTCAGATTAGTCACGATATGAGAAACGTTCGAACGATTGTCCGCGGTCCGACTGTTACTGATTGTTGAAATGATTTGTACAACAGTGGAAACTATTGTTTTTACAGTGTTTTTATGTTTAACGTCGCGTGAAACCAAATATAATATATTTATATTTTACACGCGTTCAATTATTTCACATCCCGCAGACGCTGATACTTCGTATCGGTACACATTTTCTGTTCCTACCCTGTCTAGGTCTTACGAAGGAGACAAGCAAATCCTCTTTTTCCACCGGAAGCGTGATGTTGTGGACAGGTATCTTGGTCCTCTCGACTCCCATTTTCTTCGTCGGTGTTCTCAACGTGTGGAGATAATTACTGGGGTAAAGATACGTCCTCAGCGCCGTGGCCTTTCGGATGACAGACTTAGCGTTAACAAGAATCGATTGACACTAAGAAGTTTAACGTACTCGACCGTAGAACTCGTATTCGGTCAAACGAGTCTTCAAGTCTTTCAGCCATAATTCCATATGCTCGTCGAGAGTAGAATCAGCTCCGAACGTGATATGAGCCAATTCTTCTAAATAGTCGTCCAAGTGACGCTGCGCTTCATCTTCCAAATTTAATATATGCTTTTTACAAATTGTGATCATAGTGGCAAAATCGGAGGATATGGAGATTATATCCTTCTCTGTCAGTGGCAGATCCATCCTCCTCCTCTTATCATTAGAATTTAATATAGATCTTCTATAATGTATACTATCATCGTATCAATCAAAATTTACCAGCTACGATTTTCAATAGATTGAATTCAGCCACGATTCTGCAATAACAATTTGCCGTTGATTAAAAATATATTCAGTGTTCATGGAATTATGGATCTGAGTGTTGTTAGGTCCATGCGATCGTACGATTTTTCCTTTCGACGATTTATCGAATTGCACAGAGATAAACTTTCCTCTCCTTATTCGTCGGCTTGCAGAAACGTAAAGTGATAAACCCTAACTCGTTTCGAAATTCACGTCTGTTCTTTCTTATCGTGACGTTGACACACACCCCTGATTTCTCTTAAGATAAAATCGTACGAGGCTCTCCGAAAGGGAAGGAAGAAAGTTCGCTTTTAAAATTAGAATGTGAACGTGATGATAATTTCCCAAGCTTTGGTGGTACAGCTATGGAAATTTACAGAAGCTTGGGTCAATACCTTATTTTAATGTATGCGTAGTACCTTCGAACAACAAGTCTCTGAGGCTTCTTCTTTTTTTCTTTCTTTTTTTACATAAACGAACGTATTTACGAGGAGAGGCCCGCACGTGGCAGATAAATGGAAAATTACTTAAT